AAAAAAACCAAACCTTGATCTACAATCGGATCTCTTACAAAAATAATTTTTCATAGAAAAAACTTCTTGTCAGCGGCATTAAATAACCCATTGAGGTTGATTTTAAAAAAAAAACCAAAGCAATGATCTACAATCTCTTACAAAATATACATTTAAAAACTAAAAATCTTGTCATTAAATAACCCATTGATTTATTCAAAAAAAATAAATATTACAAGGATCTCTTACAAAGAATACTTATTGTATTCATAGGAAACTAAACTAAAAATCTTGTCGGCATTAAATAACCCATTGAGGTTGATATGCCTTAAAATAAAATAAACCAAACCTTGATCTACAATCGGATCTCTTACAAAGAATACTTATTGTAAAGAATTGAGGTTGATTATTAAAATAAACCAAACCTTGTATTCATTGGAAACTAAACTAAAAATCTTGTCGGCATTAAATAACCCATTGAGGTTGATATGCCTTAAAATAAAATAAACCAAACCTTGATCTACAATCGGATCTCTTACAAAGAATACTTATTGTATTCATAGGAAACTAAACTAAAAATCTTGTCGGCATTAAATAACCCATTGAGGTTGATAACCAAACCTTGATCTACAATCGGAAAGAATACTTATTGTATTCATAGGAAACTAAACTGTCGGCATTAAATAACCTTGTCATTGAGGTTGATATGCCGTAAAATAAATAAACCAAACCAAACCAAAAGAATTCTACAGAAAACTAAACAAAAAAATCTTGTCGGCATTAAATAACCCATTGAGGTTGATATGCCTTAAAATAAAATAAACCAAACCTCACATCTCTTACAAAGAATACTTATTGTATTCAAAGAAACTAAACTACCCCATTAATAAAAAATAAAATAAACCAAACCTTGATCTACATGACTTGTTTATTATATTCATAAAACTTTCTGAAATGGTTCGGCATTAAATAACCCATTGAATGGAAAATCAAATAATCACACACAAAGAACTATCTTGCTGTTGAACTTCAGACGAATGGTTGGCGTTATGAAAAAAATAATGGACGTTAGAAAAAAGGTTGGAAAGGAAACTCCAATCTGTACTAGAAAGAGCAATAACATCTAGTAGACTTGAGAAGACTTCTTTGCTAAAAACAAATTTGTTTTGAGAAGGTAGATTTTACATATTTCAACTGACAGAAACGGTCAATAGTCGGTCAATATTTAGAAACGACAGTTTCTCGCCATTACAATTACCAGTGTCTGTCTATATTTCTGAGATGAGGTATTATGTCTTTGAGGATACATGGCACAGTCGATAAAGGCGTTGGTTAGATCCAGTAACAGGACCCAAAGAGTGTGAATTCAATACCCGGTTAAGGCAGTGGAGAACTTGGAGAGGGGAATTAACAGGAGATAACAGATAACTGACATGCATTAAAACATGGCAGGTGGAAGTAGAACAGTCTACCCCAGTGAGCGAAATAAAGGGTTCAGTTCGACATTCCAACCACTTGAAGAAGGCCGGAGCGTACAACGGCCAAAACGTTGTAATAAATATGGTGACAAAGATGAGGACAATAGTCCGAATAATGTAAATAGTTACCATTACCTTTTCTAATAACTAAACGTTTGTCAAGTAAGTAATTTAGTAGAAAATATAAATAGCGAAGCACAATAATCAGAGAAACGGAATGGAAATAATTTCAGCGTCTATCTATATATCTCGGTATATTTCTATCTATCTATCTCAGTTTATTACTATCTATCTATCTATCTATCTCATTATATTACTATCTATCTATCTATCTCAGTTTATTACTAACTATCTATCTATCTATCTATCTCAGTATATTTCTATCTATCTATCTCAGTATATTACTATCTATCTATCTATCTCAGTTTATTACTATCTATCTATCTATCTCAGTATATTACTATCTATCTATCTATCTATATGGATCTCCTCGTATCTATCTATCTAGATCTATTTATGTCCCTATGTTCATCTCCTTTATCTCTCTCTCATCCCAGTCTGTTTATATCTATATATACGTCTGCACAAACACACATACACACACGCACATTACTCTTTCAGTGCGTTCATATCTCTCTAGCGAATTTTGCTCATATCTATCTATCTATCTATCTATCTATCTATCTATCTATCTATCTATCTATCTCAGTCTCTCCAGTATCTATCTATCTATCTATCTATCTATCTATCTATCTATCTATCTATCTTTATTTGTCTTAGTATATTCATTATCTATCTATCTATCTATCTATCTATCTATCTATCTATCTATCTATCTATCTATCTATCTCAGTCTCTCTATCTATCTATCTATCTATCTATCTATCTTTATTTGTCTTAGTATATCTATCTATCTATCTATCTATCTATCTATCTATCTATCTATCTATGTTGATTATATCAATCTGGAAAAAAGAAAACCCTTCAAAATTTTCTAAAGAATCTTATCATCAGTTCATTCTGAATTCCATATTCTTAGTTGGTTTAAAAGAACTAAATTATTTGTTTGGAACAAAACATAAATATATGAAACTAATTTGTGATTAACATCGAGAATGTTCTTTGATAAAAGGATTTTGCTAACTGAATGTTTTCTCCTTTTCTGTTTATTGGATAACTTACGTTGTTTTATTATCATTTCAATTCAACTTTTTAGTCGTATTTATAAACATTCATTTTACGTGCCTTATCCTTTCAGAAAGAGTGCAATCATGGTTCTCCACAATTTCCTCTCTGTTTCTGCTCTAAGTAACTTTTTACTCTGTATTTTGTTCTGTCATCTATATCCTATTTTCTTTTTTTATGTCCAATGTCCTTCCCGGGTGATGACGGATCATTACTCACCACAACTTCCTGTCTTTTACTGCTCTAAGTAATTTTTACCTCTTTATTGTACTTTTTCTGATCTTGTTATACGGCTTTTAACCTTTCTTTTAGGTGCCGTTAGGTGGTGACCGATCACGTCTCTCCACAACTTCCTTTTTTTTCGAAGTCACTTTTAACTCTTTACCATACCTCTTTTGTTCTTGTTCTGTTATCTATATGATTTTACCTCTTCCTTTATGTGCCCTGTCCATTCGAGTGGTGACCGACCATGGCTTTCCACAACTTCCTGTCTTGTCGTGTTCTAAGTAAGTTCTAACTCTTTACCATACCTCTTTTGGTCTTGTTCTGGTTAGTAAATAACAAGTGTAGTACCTGTTCCACTCATCTTTCACGGTAATGATAGTAGCCGTTTCCTTATAAGGAAACATTGGACATTCATTCCCCGGGCAGACAGACTGAAATTCTATTAATATATAATTCTTATGTATGCCTCTTGGTCTTTATATTAAAGAAACAATAGCGTAAAAAAACATTATTTACATTCAGTCTAAAGTCCTTTTCATTGTTGGTAATATTACAATGTTTCGATCGCTGTTACTTTCGGCCTTCTAGTGTCCGATGAACCTGGTAACCTTCAGGCAATGTAAAAATGAGAACTTTATTTAATTTACAGATGAGATAACTTGTCCTCATACCGCTATCTATGTCTATGGATATATCAACCTGTTCTTTTTTAGTAACTAGATTTTTTTTCAACACGCTAACGTGTGTCGATATCCACACGGTTTTTAGTATTGTTGAAGTCATGTTATTTTTTTTTTTTCAAGATTTACAAACTTTATGTTTCATTCAATTTCGCAAACCAATCGATGGAACTTGGATTATCTGATTTGTTTTGAAACTCTCGCGGTTTAATAATTTCTTTAATTTAATTTTATATGATTTCATGGTAAACAATATTTTTTACGAAAATTTCTTTTTTCCTCCTTTTCCTTTTTAACAGCGAAGAATAAATTCTTAAGATTTCTTACTCTTTATCATTCAACATACTATGCGTAAATATTTGTTTCTGGAGTCAAATTTCAACCTTTTGAATCGTCTGGCCTAGAGATTTGTTTATAGTTCTCGCAAAAGCAGAGCGAATTGGAAACTGGATTCTTGTATATAAAATCTTAAGGAAAATATATACAAAAATATTGCATTTTTATTAAATAAGTATTTGTTGTTTTAATCATTATTTGTTTTTTAAATAGTGGGGATATTTTGGATGTTAAATACTAAAACTTCTGATTTTCCCCCCAAATTAATGAAGATTTATAATACTAAGCTACACCAGTGATTAAAATCTCCAGCTACATCCGTGATTCTCAGCCACCGTTTTACGAAACAGTCATGTGCCGAACGAACTTCTTACCTATGCCATGCGATTCACTTAAGTGTGATGCGATATATTGTTCAAATATTTTAAAGAATTTCGAATAAATACCAGGCATACGTTTCACACTAAATAAGCTACACAAATAGTTGAATAGAAACATTGAAATAAAGTAAGTTTATATATATATATGTATGTGTATTTCAATAATCTATAGTTTTATTTCATAACATTTAAATGTATACCCTTTAAAAGTATTGCTAAGTGTGGCGTGATATTTTCATTTTCTCCTGGGGGGGTGGGCCGTTGTATAAAAAAGGTTGGGAAACCCTGAGGAAGACCTTAGACGGTGCCATCTATCAACGAATCTCTTTGACTGGGGCTACAGTACCCGGAACACAGAACCGCACCATTTTACAGTGTAGATGTGGAATCGAACCTAAGACGCCCAGTTACAAGACCGGAATGGTCTTGGCGTCACACCCCCATAGAAGTAGACTCGCCCGCTTACATGAGAGGCGAGAGTGGGCTACTTAAACAAGACATTTACGGCAACGAGTATCTAGGCAGATACACGTCGTCTCGCTGCTACCTTACATACAGAAATCACATCACTTGACGAATTTCAATAAAAGCATCCACTAAAATGCATAGAACATGAAAGTGGAGGATGAAAAAAAGACGTTCCATGCAACTTCAAATAAAATTCAGCATCCATTCTAGAAAGAACGATAACAATTATCGAACAAAAAAAAAAATAGAAAAGAAAAAAACGAACTTAAGGCCATATCACGTTGAAACACTAGTTCTCGTAAGATCAACGACATTAAGCAACGTCGAGCCTGGTCAGTACCTAGATGGGTGACAGCTTGGGAATACCAGGCGCTGTAAGCTTAGATGTGCAAGGGGTGTAATGGATAATGTCACGAAATTGTTAATCGGGGAGCCGTGTTCCAATTCCAGTTGTTTTTTTTTATATTCACTAATATACCCTTGGGAAAGGTATGAATCAAACGCTTCTCCCCAACTATGGGTTAATTAGTAAAACTTGTATCAGTAAACCGTTATTATTTCCAAAAATAATATAAAATTGCTTATAAAATATTCAGATTTTGGCATTAATTTAAGAGAATGGTTTTATCAATTTTTATCGAGAGTAATGCTGTTTGATCAATCGATGTGGAATGTTTCTTTATAAGGAAACGGTTAATCTCATTATTATTATTATTATTATTATTATTATTCCGTTGGATTTCTGTTGTATAAACATTCCCTTCCTGCTCCCAACCAGAGAACTGATGTAAAAAATTGTTTCATGACATTTTCGACTCAATATTTTTTGTAAAATACGAGGGCTCCAACTATAACTGGATTTATTGAAGTCCTCAGGTGCCGCCAGATTTTGAGATTTCAAATTCATGACCCTTGTATTTTGATAGTTTTTTATTTTTATTTTTGAAGATCTTCAAAAACACATTACAATCTGCAGGAATTACCATGTCAATAAGAAAGCGCATTCTGTTCTTATGGTCTTTCATCATGACGTCTTGGATTTGATCGTTCTGCCTGCGTGTAGTGTAAAAACCCATAAAATTGTTACAGGTCCTATGTCTGTAACCGGGTCTTCGTGATGTCCATACCTCAAATTCAGTAGCATTTTCCAGTACTGATGACGTTTTCCTTTCTAACCTTTTAGCTGAAGTAGTGTGGCATGCTAACATCTTGATTATGTCATGGTATGTCTCCTTCCCATTAAAGTGACATATTTTCCAGTGTATATATTGGCCCACTCTGTAATGTCGTGTTTTATATTCCGCGTGAGCTAACATTGTGCAACCTGATATAAGATGGCCAATTGTTTCTGGATATTTATCACAGAATCTGCATTTCGGATTAATCCAGTTTTTTTCTGAAAATGTCCTTGGTAATTTCTAGTTAACAAGCAGAATTTACCAAGCACATATACTGAAAAATTATTATTAGTAGTAGTAGTTTCAACGAGTAAAAATTTCCTTGCATTTCTATTCAAAATTTTTTGAAGTCTTCATGTGCTGCCACATTTTGAGATTTTAAATTCGTGACTCTTGTATTTTGACAGTTTTTTTTTTTTTAATATCTTCAAAGATACATTACATTATGCAGGGACTGCCATGTTAGTTGGAAAGCCCATTCTGTTTTTCTGGTTTTGATCACGATGTCTGGGCAATTAGCTTTGATCGTTCTTTCTGTATCGTAAAGTCCCATAAAATTGTTACAGATCCTATCTCTGTAACCAGTTTCCTTCCCATAAAAGTGGCATATTTTCCTGTGGAGATATTGGCCCACTCTATCATGGCGAGTTTTATATTTAGTGGATTCTAAAACTGTGCAACCTGATACAAGATGGCCACTTGTTTCTGGATATTTTTCACAGAATCTGCATTTCGGGTTAACATAGATTTTTTTTGTATGTATGCTTGGTAATTTATAGCTAACAAGCATTGGTCCTGCGTAACAAGAATAAAACCTTCGCTCTCAGCTTTTAACCCTGCACTACGTAACCATTGATGGGAACGGGGTTTGTCTACGTCAGCTTGGTTGGTGCAGGCAGAGTATTGACCATGAAGAGGCTTATCTTACCATCGTTTCTGCATTTGCTCCATTGCATTTGCTTTTGCTTTCTTTTTTAAGTTCTTCTCATTATTATTATCAATATGTTTAATCAAATGTTTAGGATTTACTCTACGCTTTTAAAAAATAATATTACGCTTGAGGGCGTAAACGAAGTGGATGAAAAGACTTTTCTTATCGTAAATTAAAATCTTTTCATCTGCTTCGTTTAAAGTAATTATTTTCGATTTTTTTCTATTAAATGATCTCTGCATATTCTTGGGTGACATTAGCCAATGTCTGGCTAATTAAATGGATTATCGTTTAATCTAAGACATTAGGCGTCAGACAATTACTTACTTTTTCATTTAATTATTGATCCACAAATTTTATATTGCTTGCATCATTTTATGCTAATAAACATTGATTTTTTTTATTTTCTTAGGTTTGTTTCATACGTTGAAAATACATAAGTTGTTCACCGTGTCTGTTATTTTAACGCCGTTCTGTCAGTAATGATCCTTCTTCATTGCTACTTAAATTCGTTTGATCAAATCTGACAACCTAATCATATCTTCTAAATAGATGAACGGCAAATACTGTCTGTTCATCTATGTGTCAAGAACCCCCTTCTAACTCATGCCAAACTTATCTGTATAGACATACTATATCTTCTTGGAATCAGGATGATACCGGAATTTAAAATTAGCCCTTCGTCCAGCATGGATATGTCTGTCCGGATGAGAAAAGAACAATTAAAAATTCAAATTTTAAAATAACTGGGAAAAAAAATGATTTTAATTTTAAAAATTTATATTGAATTTAAAGAAACACAAAAAAAATTGCGAATTTAGAAAAAATTGCTTTAAATTCAGATTAAAAGATCTCCAAAACTTTGTGAATTGAGGAATTCAGTTTTATTTTTTCAAAATGGCAAGGCATCAGAGACCAAGTGAGAGCTCGTGTGACGTAAGGATTTGACGTTCCGCAGCGTTTGTGATTTGGAGCACAAGATTTTCGGTCAGGGTTTCGGCCCAAATGCGTCTTTTGGCCCGAATTGGTAATATATATCCCGATTCACAGCTTAAGTGGGGTTTTAAAATTACATAGAATGAATTGAGGAATTCAAAATTAATTCTTCAAGATTTCTAAGCTAGACCAGACGTCTCTTTTGGGTCGGTGTAAAACCACTTTCAAATGCACTTTCATAATAAAATCAATTTCAAATGTATTTTCTTAGTAAAATCCCTTTCCAATATATTTTCATAGTAAAATCCCTTTCCAATGCATTTTCAAATGTATTTTGCATTTTCATAAAAACCCTTTTCAATATATTTTCATAGTAAAAAATCACTTTCCAATGCATTTTGATATTAAAAATCCTTTCCAATAGAAAACTTTCAATACTAAAAAATCTTTCCTTTCCCCTGTATCTTTTTCAATACTAAAAATCACTTTCCAATGCATTTTCATAAAAAAAATTCATTTTCCCCTTTCCAATGCATTTTCATAATAAAATCCCCTTTCCAATTCATTTCATAGTAAAATCCTTTTCCAATGCATTTTCTTCAATAGTAAAATCACTTTCCAATGCATTTTCATAATAAAAATCCTTTCCAATGCATTTCTTTCCAATCCATTTTCAAAAAATCAAATTTTCATAGTAAAATCTTTCCAATGAAAATTTTAATGCAGATATTAAAAAATCCTTTTCAATAGATTTTCATACTAAAACCCTTTCCCTGTAAAAATCACTCATTTTTTTCAATGCATTTTCATAATAAAATAAAATTATCGTAAAATCACTTTCCAAATGGATTTTTGATATTAAAATCCTTTTCCAAAACATATTCAAAAATAAAAAAACAATCATTTTCCAATGCATTTTCATAATAAAATCACTAATGCATTTTCAAAAAATCACTTTCCGATGCATTTTCATTATAAAATTTTGATATTAAAATCCTTTCCGAAAACCCTGCATTTTCCTAATAAAAAATCATTTTCCTTTCCAATGCATTTTCATAATAAAATCCTTTCCGATGCATTTTCATAGTAAAATTTTCAATGCATTTTCAATGCATTTTCATTTTCATAACAAAAATTTTCCTTTCCAATGCATTTTCATAATAAAACTTTCCAATGCATTTTCATAGTAAAATCACTTTCAATGCATTTTCATAAAAATCTTCCAATCCAAAAAAGTCAATGAATTTTCAGAGTAAAATCCAATGCATTTTCATAAAAAATCCCTTTCCAATGCATTTTCATAGTAAAATAATGCAAATAAAAAATCCCTTTCCAATGCATTTTCATACTAAAATCACTTTCCAATGCATTTTCATAGTAAAAATCCAAAATAAAATCTTTCCAATGCATTTTTTATTATCATAAAAAAATCCCTTTCCAATGCATTTTCATCATAAAATCACTTTCCAATGCATTTTCAGTAAAATCACTTTCCAATGCATTTTCCTAAAAAATCACTTTCCAATGCATTTTCATAGTAAAATCACTTTCCAATGCATTTTAGTAAAATCATAATGCATTTTCATAAAAATCACTTTCCAATGCATTTTCATAGTAAAATCACTTTCCAATGCATTTTCCTAGTATATTTCAATTTTTCTAATGCAATGCATTTTCATAATAAAATCCCTTTCTTTTTCAATGCATTTTCCTTAAAATCTTTCAATGCATTTTCCAGTAAAATCACTTTCCTGCTTTTTGTTTTTTTTTTCAATAAAATCTCTTTTCAATGTTTTCAAAAATCACTTCCTAATGTGACGTTCAAAACATTTGTCTCCCTCACATTTGTCTCCCTGAGATTTACTCTCCTTTTTCCTCTAACGTGTTCTATGATTTCTCCACTCTCGGTAATCCCTTACATTTTTAGTGTCTTTCTCCTCTTCTCTGTGAAGAAATGATTAAAAATACATATATTCCCTGATTACCATCTTTTATGTAATCTCGTGCTTCCGATTTTGATGACTAAAATTTATCAACTCCATTCAAAAGAATTCCGTCTTTCCCAGCAGTACCTTTTGTTCGGTGTCCGTCTGGCTAATCTCTGCTATCTGATGTCCCATTAAACTGCGAATCACTCAATCAATAGGCTGAACTATTTTCTGTCTCTTTCTCCTTGTACAGCTATCCTCTCAATTCGCCCTTTCGGGCGAGATGTCCTTAGAATAAATATCTTTTTTGTATGTTTCCACTTTCGTTTGTTTTCTTATTCAATCTTTTAATGCTTTTTATTGTCCTCTTTTTCTCATCTGTTTATTCAGTTTGCCGTCACTTTAA